GGGGGGGGGGGCGGTGAACGCAAAGATTACAGAATTATTGTCGAGTAAATCGAAGCAAACGTAAAACAGTATAGACGAGTTTATTTACCAACATATGTAGGACACAGGAGTAGGGCACTGCTATGAATAGAAACATGCTGAGGATTGTCGCGTTTCACGCATTAAAATGTTCTATGGGACGCTAGGAATATGAGGAAGAAGGGGGTGTCCAAAAAGCTAGGGGTGGCATCCTCTTGCCTCCCCCCCCCCTCCAGATTCTTGTCCTTCTTTGTGTGCGACTTTGATATGACATTCGAATGCATTTACAGCGCGTGCTGCATCTTGGTATAAACATGCTTAATTTAAGAGGACACTGGACACTCACCCCTCTGCTAACTATATGCATGACACTTCCTTTTCAAGTAACTGTTGTCAGTTATCAATTACCGGAGGGGCATTTGGGCAGTAGAGACCCGATACTCAGGGTGTTACTGCATGGAAACGACGGATGCATTCGGATAATATAAATCTAGCTAAGGCCACATTCACAATATACGTTGATCCGCGGACTTACAGATCCGCGGGTCAAATATGCCCCACCCACTTCAAAGCTTGCCCCTGAATCTCTTCAGTGCCTGTTAGGGGATTATGCGGAAAGCTCTCAAGTGGGTCCGCCATATTTGATCCGAGGATCTGTTAGCCCGAGGATCAACTTGTTCTGAGTGCACCCTAAGTGTATGCGGAAGCAACGTCGTGCATTTTAATACAGCATGAGTTATCAGTGTATAAAGCATATGCCGCCACAAACCGCTTTTTATCTCCAGATGAAGGTAAAGTAATCTCTTTATGGCTATGGTGAAGTGTTTTATATTATTGTGTGTGGTCTTTGAAAAATATACTGCGACGGACACAGAGTCGACTCCATCTTCTGAATAATGTGTGTATATGTGTGGGTTTAAATCTGTTATTATTTTTTATGAAGATGAAGGGATTTTCCAGGAAACGTGAACATGTTATGTAAGCAGATGAAGAAGCTTAATGATTTTTTTTCCATTTTAGAGCGACGAAAACATTATACCATAGCTGAAGAATGAACGCCCCAGCAAAGCACCTTTACTAAGAAAACTTAAGCTCGCTCAAAGCCTGGCTTCCAGTGAGGTTGTTGATTACCATTTAAACATAATCTTTTCATTAAGACATGCGACTCTTGGCGGGGAGACGTACTTGAACTCTGTGAATATATATGCCAGAGACTGCAATGTACATTTAAATTTGTGTGACACAGAGAGGCTCTGAAACTGAAACATTGCAAGACGAAAGGTATTTGACTTAACGACATTTTCTTTGTCTTAATTGTGACGTCACTATCACATAAGTGACGTCATCATTTTTTAGAACACGTCCAGTGCACAAGACAAGATGACGAAGGAGGATTACGAACTGAAAGCAAAAGGGAACAAGGTTTCCCCGGAGCACACGATATCAAGCAAGGAGGATATTAAACAAGGCAGTGGAGAGACTGAAATCGATAATACGGGTCTCCAGCGTCTATTGCCGAAATTTCTTCGCATGCGATATGCGGATCCGGACCTTGAGAACCTCTACGGTGCATATTATCGGCGACAGAAACAGGGCGCTCTCTCTATAGCAGCCGTCCTTTCCTTTTTCTGTGACATTGCCCTCATCGTCTCGTACGTCGTCAAATATCAAAGTCCAAGCATCTTGGCCGTAAAAGCAATCCTCGTTATAGACTTTGTAGTGTTCTTTCTATGCAAAATCAAACCGAGGCTCCTGCCGGATAAAGGCCACCTTGCGATGTGTTTTGTATTTTGGATTTATCTTCAAACAAAGCTGTTCGTAGATATTGGGATACGGTACAGTTTAGGGATTGCGGTGTCTCCGAATCACGTTGTTGGCCTGCAAGCGTTGCTTCTCTACCTGGCTTTCATAGTTTTGCCTGTCAGAATAGCGATCTGCGGACTTTTTAACCTGTTAGCCATCCTGGGTTACCTACTTTTGACGGCCATTTTGGCGGCGATGCAGCCTTATGGGATATTCTACATAGGAAATGAGGTGAGACTGAAGATTAGAGAAAGTTGTCATACTGATCTTTTTTATTGGCCATGCAATTTAGTAGAATTGAATCAGTTATATTTCTTCTTGGTTAAACTAAAATTTGCTGACAAATTTTAAGTTACAAATAATCCAAAATACTTGATGTTTTATTTGAAAAAATTATCATGATATCCAGACGCGTTGGAAAATTGCCTTGAAATATTCAAAGATATCCGGCGAAATATTAAAGTAAAGATTTAAGTAAACAGAACCATATATTATCGATGCTGAACGACAGCTTATCAGGTGCATTAAAACGAGTCTTACCGAATGTGCTGAAGAAAATCATATCAAAAAAGTGTGCTGTTTAGAGGACATGATCTCAAGCAAAATTTTCCTTTGGGGCAAAAAGAAAAATGATAATTATAATGATAAATTACTACAAAAAGCGAGTCCTCATAAAGACCCTTTCCTACTCAAAATAAAGAAGATATCGCAAGCAGTTGTCCCTACACTTCTTGCCAGAGTTCGAGGGATGAATACCTCTTATAGCACAGAATTGGCGAGAAGTCGAGACGAAAAAATGTTGATCTCCAAAATCTATCATTTGGCATTTTAATTGAAGTTTATTTGATGAGAAAATAAACACTTCTCTCTGTGTGCTGTAGAATCAAAGACGACAGCTGCAGTATTATAAAAACGAAGTCGAGCTATTCGATGGAAATGACGATACTTATTTATTATAAATTAACGTAATTCATGCTGCATTCACCATGCGAAGTAGCACAATAAACGGCAGGCCTTCATTTTGCAAAATTTTGATTCAATATAAATTCAATATTTCCCCTTAGTCGCTAAAATTCAAAATTATAATCAAAATAGCAATCTGTTAATCGGGTTTTGAGTCTTAGTAGAATTTCTGATTCTAGTGCATCTCTCTTAATGAGGTAGGGAAATGGTGACTTTTACTCCTGGCGGTAATATGTAGAAATTTTAATTTCTTAAAATAACTAGTAAATGGGTTTACCTTTTGTTATCTTTTCAAAGCTTTGCGATATACAGTAGGTATACCTTGGAGAAATTCTGAACTAACAAGGGAAATCAATATTTTGCCATACAGTAGACAAAAGCGCATTGTAATCTTTTACGTCTTATTAATTAGTCTGCCTAACGACATATTTTCATATCATGCTTAAAGCAGCGAAGAAATTGATATATACATACATATCTTGTGCTCTACAAGTTGCTGATATATGATTACTTTTTCTGATCTCAATCCGGCCCGAGTGCCAGACGTGCAACTCATGTGTTAATGAAAAGTCTAGCGCTTAGAACAACTATACGCAAGAGAGTCATATTTCACAATAAATACATTGTTATCAACTCGTAGAAATATGATAAATTCCATTATACCTCCGAAAGAGCAGTTATCGAAATTAATCTGGAATCTATGCTTGCCATCAAACCACGTGGACCTTCATACACATGTAGATAATCTCTTAAGAGATTATTACAAAAATAAATAAATAAATAAATAAATTCGTGATCTTTGAATGTCGAAATGGTTGTATTTATTATTGTTTAGTATGGGGAAATCGTCGTTTACCCCAGGAGAATCTTTTTTTTTTACCGAAACAGTTCTTATCCCTTTAATTAAAATTCTATTAGGTTAACAATATCATACGAAGTAATTACCATTGTTTTGCTCCGACTGTGGGCAATGTCCTATGATTCGCGTGCGCCAACATATTAGGCGCCGTGTTTGTTTGGCTTTAAATCTATCCATGTTGTGATCATAATTTCTCTTGTTTTTTTCTTAGGTTGCTGCTGATATACTGTTATTCATGTGCGCCAATGTATTAGGAACGATCTCATATTTTCTTGCGGACAAGAACCAGCGCAGGGCGTTCCTGGAAGCCAAAGCTTCGCTCTCAGTAAAGGTTGCCATCGAGGAGAAATCTAAAGAACAGGTAGGCCCTAACGGGAGAGTTTTCATTGCCCCCAAATGGTCGAGCTAGGGAACAAATTCCCCCTTCCTTGGCTTTGAAAGCACTTTCTCCCCAAAACCAGTATTAGAAGCCAGAACAAAAGCGAGCAATGTTTACATTTCGTCGTTTTGAGTCCTTGTGCACCCTCCCCCCCTCCCGATCCGCCAGTGCCCCACCCCTCCCGTTATTCCAAAAAGAAAATGGCGGATTCAAACAAAGATGCAGACAGAACTGGACGCATAATGCCTTGAGAAGTACCGCAAAATGTTCCAAATTACAACATATTTTCAATAAATAAGCTAAGAAAGAAATAAAGACCACTGAATAGATAAATAACATAAACGCAACCTGATAAACCGAGATTATTTACTTTATTCACAAACAGGAGCGCCTCCTATTGTCTGTCCTTCCAAAGCACGTCGCAGACGATATGGTGCAAGATATGGGAAATGAAATTGGAGGGCAGTTCAGGAAAATCTACATGAGTCGACACGAGGATGTTAGGTAACAGTGTAACCCTGTTAACTGTCATATAACCGATTTTAAAACTCTTTGGTGACTAAGACGAATAGGCCTTAATCAAATTCGTTTTATTCGTTCCTGTTTGGAACAACAATTGCTAGGTAAAGATGTCAGGGAATTCGTCTCTTGTTTGCATCCACATGTTACTGTCTTCAAGGTTGCAACTTTACGTAGTAATTTTCACAACTGTGATGACAATAATGGTTCTGATTTTTTTTTTTTTTTTTTGCTTTTTGATTTTTTTATAGTATTCTCTTTGCTGATATCGTGGGTTTCACAGCAATGTCGTCTGCTGTCACAGCGCCCGAGTTAGTTTCCGTTTTGAACCAGCTCTTTGCCACCTTTGACCAACTTTCTCAGGTAAGTCCCCGCAACAACGTGACGTCACACTACGTCACAAAATTTTTTGTGACACCACACGGCGTAACAAAGTGACACGCAGTTAATTTAAATAAAGGAAAAATGAGAAATATACTTGCATCAAAAGGTAAAAAAAAGGATGGTAATTTTTAATACGTAAATGAAAATAAAATGAATAAAAATATTAAAAATAACATAAATAAAAGAAAAAGTAAATAATAATACTTGTAATAATTATTATGAAAATACAAAAAGTAAAACTATTGTTTGGTTTATTTTCAGAAATACCATCAGCTTCGTATAAAAATCCTTGGGGATTGTTACTACTGCATCAGTGGCGCACCCACACCCCGCCCTGATCACGCGGTACTAGCCGTCCACATGGGCCTTAGTGTGGTAGTCGCTATTGCGTAAGTACCTGTTTTTGCTAGTAGTAAAATTTCCAGGATAAGCTAGAAAACATACCCTCTGATGTCAGGGGCTCCTAGAGTAGTTTTAAAAATTAGATCATGTGCCATACATCAACTTTTTAAAGACTATAAGTGCACCCTGTGGTCTGAGAGCAAGAGAAGCTAAGGGAAAATGTGCAGTTGAAGGCAGAAAATCTGTTAGGCCTATTTTACGCAATTTATAATGATGATTTAAGGTTTACTTTCTTTCTCATTTTTCTTTATCCGTTTACCTTCATTTGTCCCAGTTCTTTCAATAATAATAATAATAATAATTATTATAATGATGATAATAACAAAATCACGAAAAATGATAATAACTGTTGGAAATATTGAAAGAAAAAAACGCTACTGCGTTAGAAACGAATAAACTTCTAGTACTTAATCTCAAATTTCAGTCAAGTTCGTGAACGCACCAAGACCAACGTCAACATGCGTGTAGGTATCCACACCGGGGCTGTCCTGGGAGGCGTCATTGGCCAGAAGCAGTGGCAGTTCGACGTGCTGGGAAAAGACGTCCAAATGGCAAACAAAATGGAGTCTGGCGGCGTTCCAGGGTAAGTCAGGGGTGTTATATGCGCGTCTCTTTAATTTTTTAATAGTAAAACATAAGGTCACTGTATTCGAATTGCCACTTCAGTAATAGATGCCACGACTGTTAAAATGGATGTGAAACTACGCTAAAGTACAAAAAAGTACTAAACCCTGTATCTCGGATAGACGCAACTCAGGCATGATGATGAATGCGTGATTTATCACGTATGAATGTTTTGTTCAAGCCAACCGCCGTGGCAACGTTATTCGTCACATATCACGAACCGACAGTTAGCTAAATGTCACATACTTCTATACCTCACTGACTCGTGGTGTGTCTGTTATACATGTTTTCCTTTCTGAGCTTTGTGGTGTCTGGCCTCAAGATAATGACACCGGAATCTTGATCATGGATTGATATCTTCTAGTTTGGTAGGGTGCCTTTCCGAACGCTCCTAGGCCGCCATTATCCAATAAACTTTCAAAGCAAAAACCGATGGATATTTTATGCGATGTGTGCGATTTCAGATTTTAAGGCTCATTCCAAAAGAAACAATCGTTTTACATAGATCGAACCAACTCCAGGGGGACTCTCGCTGAGAGCAACCAAAATAGAAGACTACCACGCCTCCTTTAGTTCCAAACGTACCGTTAATCGTGTAATCACCAGGTTTCCTGTTTTCATCTCAACGACAGGAGGAGGCGTGGTTTATCTGTTAATCAGATTGCATTCAGCGAGAATCCCTGCGGAGTTGGATCTATCTATGTAGAACAATAGTTTCATTAGGTATGGACCATAAGATGTAGTAACAAATGTCAATTTTAAATGAGAACCAAGTTAAACTTTCCATTCGGTTTTATCTTTCTTAATGTATTTATTAATGCTACTTTTTTTTCAGACGCGTCCACATCTCACAGTCTACTGCAGACTTTCTAGATGGTGAGTTTGAGCTTGAGCCGGGAGAGGGCGACACTAGAGAGGAGGCCATTAAACAAGCTGGGATTAAGACTTACCTTGTAGGAACGGTTCTGAAGCCGGTGCGTGGCGCCATCTATGGTTTTGAAATATAGTATAGTTCACTGCCAAACATCAAATTCCACGCTGACATCTTTTCTGATATATGGCAAAAGTTCTTTATAGGTCTGCTGACCAAACTGGTTTGAAATTGTTTACCATGAATAGGGAAGTGATATAACTATTGACGTAACTTCCCGTGCATTGTTCTACTGTAGAAGTGAGCTGATATGACTTGAGCTTGTCTCAAAATAGCGCCCATGCACCAGTACAATTGAAACTAAAAATGTTTTTCGGCTGGAAGAGCCAATTTTTAGGCACCAGACACAATTACTTGAATTTTGGATTATTATGACAAAATACCTTTGTATTCCAGTATCCGGAGGGCACTCTCGACGCTTCAAACGGAGCTGCAAATGGTCACGTGGCTGATGGAGTGACGTCAGACAACGAGCCGAAAACTACTGGCGACTCTGATGTAGAAAAGAACGATGTCGACAGTAATCAACATATATATGAAGCGTTGGTAGAAAGAGATGATTCGACGTAAGTTAAAATTGGTCCTTCATTTTATCAATTTACATAAATCCTATAAGATGAGGACCAACACCCGAAGCACTGTATTCGAATACATAGCATTTACAACTGTACTCTGAGGTTCAAAATTCCCTGGAAATTCACCTCTCTACTTTCTTCATAGCTCTGCTGTTTCCAGTAACATGATTTAAATTTAAGGGGATAATACCTCTTCGTATGAGATCAATATTTCACAATAAAAACATTATAAACAACTCATAGAAATATAATATATTCTGTTTCACCACAAAAACGGCAGTTATAGCTATTATTCTGATATCTGAGCTTGTCATCGGACCACGTGACCTCCATAGATGGCTTAACCCTGTAATAATCCCTTAAGAGATTATTACAAATAAAAAAACTTTTTAGAAAAAAACAAAACAAAAAAAAAACAGCGACTTACATTGAATGTAGAAATGGATTCATTCACCTTTGTGAAGTATGGGAAAATTGTTGTTTACTCCAGGAAAGTTCATTTTTTGGCCAAAACGAACAGTCATTATCCCTTTATTCCTTTAAAGGCACTTGAGCTTGCAGTATTTAGTGAAGGTTACTGAAAACGGCAGAGGCTTTTCATGACCCGTATGTCTCGTTTGTCTAACAACCCAGTAACAAACTTTTCAATTGTTGAATGCCAAAACGAGGCCCCCTTATGGATGGGAACTCGGGTTTCATGCAGTATGACCATTCTAAAGTGGATAGTTTATCTTTTGCAGTAGTACAAAACCTTTTTGTTTTTCCAAAGACATTACCGTTAAGCTATTAAACAATAGGGACGGACTATAAAGTGAAATATCGATTAAGGTTTGAGGCTGCTGACGTATGTTTTTGTTCTGTGGAAATTCAGACAGAGCAATTGCACGCTCTGTCTAAATTACCGGCAGTGTGTCTAGCTTGGAAATAAAAAGCAACTGATATCGAGCGTGCAATATCTTTAACTTTTGCGTCCCTTATGCCCTATTACGCAGTTAATTTAGAGAAAAGCATATTGAAGATCATGAAATATGGTTTGTTCCTAATATTTTGACATAGTACACAATGCATGATGATTGATAATGTTTTCTCGGCGAAAGTGGTGCTTTCGCTCCGGCGCACACACAAAACTCTCATCTGAGCTACCGTGAGGGTCGAGAGGTTATTAAAACGACTAGATAAACAAGAAGTCATATTTCAACGCGAATCATTTACGTCACAGTGCATCATATTATGACGTGATTCAGCGACGTTTTATTCCTAAATATCATTTTAGGCACATGTCCAAACGACTCAACCGCATCACACTTTGGTTCAAGGACAAGGAAGTGGAGAAGGAATACGGAAGTAACAGGGGCAAACACAGTGGCGTCACCCTGACCAGCACCTGCCTTATACTGCTAGCGTGCTTCCTGTCTCAGCTTTGGGTACTGCCTAGGTAGGTCACGTACATAAAGAATACAATGGCGGCTCCGAGAAACGGGGGTGGAGGTGGGGGAGCGTGTTGGGGGGGGGGGGTAGGACAAGTGCCATGGCCAATGCTCCCCCTCCCCATCTGAATAAGAAAATAAAAAAGTGAAACCAGACAATACCAAGCGATTTCTTATCCTCTGCTGTGTCCTACACATGGGAGTTTAATTATCCCTGTTTACTATTTCATATTTTTAGCATTGTGCCCCCCCTCCCCTTCTCTAATATCACCAGCGAGTTCGTTGTCAACAGTTTGTCTTTTATCTCATGATTGCAACTTTTTGAGTTTGTTGGTCTGTGGAATTCCACTAAATTAGAGTTATTGTCTTACTTTTGTTTCATTGATTCATTATTTTGCAACCGTTGAGTCGTTAAACAGCCAGATAGGCTATTTTGTATTTGAGAGAGGCAAACAATCAATGATAAAATTGCTCATTATCTATTTCAGAAACGTCAATGCATTCTTGACGTTTGCCGTGGTGTTTGTGTGTCTGGTAATTATGTCATTGATAAGTCTCGCAGCAGACATTAAGGTAAATAAACGAATAAATAAATAAATAAGTAGGACGTACACCACCATTATTATGACTTGAATAGAGAAAATGCATTAGCTCTTGTTTTAGAAATTTGAGACATTTACTGGGAGCAGGACATGTAGAGATACCCCTTTAGGACAGTTTGCATGTGCTTGTACATGTAATTCTTATATATATATAAACTTATGCCTATATGATATTTCCCTTAAATACTTGAAGTCTATATGTGTTTTCCTTTGCTTATAGTCATTTGTATGCATAAGAAGAGTTATAGCCATGGATGACAATAATTATTTTTTAAAATCATTTTTCAGAAATTTCCAAATATTTTGGTTCGCTTTGCTCACTGGATCGAGGTAACCGTTTGGTTCCGGATATTCTGGGTTAGTCTTGCAGTCCTTATTTTAGCTGCAGCCGATATTATAGATATGGTAAGTTATGCCAAGGAGTTATAACAGATATAACTCCTTGGTTATGTTTACACTTTGTTTGAAAAGTTTTATTTGTATTTTTCTTCTTTTCTACTTCGTTTTATTCTTCTTTTCTACTTCGTTTTAGAAGTGAAAGTGCTTCAAAACTAGAAATGTCTTTCATTATCTTAAGAAAATACTTATTATTATTTTCAATTATTTTGAATTTCAGGAAAATTATATATTACTCTTTAAGACAATAAATCATGCATATCCCTTATGTCTTACGATGAAAATTGCTATGATAATTTTTTATTATTCATATATTTAAGTATCAATGAGAATTTGAGAAAATGAATAAAAAAAATTATTTATTTTGACAGCTTGGCTGCTCTACCACGGACAACTTTACGGCAAACACCACTCAGCTCAACCCCAGCACAGCCTATTGCCAGTATCCCTCTTACTTCATGGACTTCGGCATCATGGTTGTCATGGGAACGACCTTGCTGACCCAGATCAACTTCCTGGTCAAAATTATCCTGATTATAGCGGTCTGTGCCGTTCATTGTGTTATGTATCTGGTTGTGATTCCGACATCTTTTGATGAGGTAGACAGCTTTCTTGGCTCCTATGGGTAAGTATGGAAGTATGTTCATAAATAATAATAATATAGTACAAATATGAATAGTAATAATTCCTGCTGCTTTTTTTCGCGTGCTAAACATTTGCATACGTAACTGCATAGGCCGCCATATAGACTAATACATACATGCTTCCATATAAATATGCTTTCTTGCCCCGATTTCAGATTTAATTTTTTTCTTTCTTTATGCGCACAATGCCAATTTCTGTTGTGCATTCATAGCAATGCATCTTGTTATTGTTCAGATTTAAGTGAGAAAGTAATAAATAAGAGTGATCGAATTATGAGTTTAAGGGTTTTCTGGAAATGAAATGTTATTATTTGCTTGCCCCTGTCATTTCCAGTTCCTTGAAAAATGATTGGATGCTTTAATTAAAACGAAATGAGTTTTAAATTAAATTTCATTCTGAGGAACAAAGAAATGAAGTTAAAATGATATGTCTTCTTGTTACAGCGGTGTGTTGATGCCAACAAAATATCTGATGGTTGCAACAATAGGAGCTGTTGCCTTGACAGCAGCGTTTCTTTCTCGCTCGGTAAGCGCTGAACATTACATAGCTTAAGACAGCACAAAGCAGTTGTCGTGCAAGATAAACAGTGAAGACTTTAATAATTACACAGATTTTTTATTATCCTGTATATAGGAATGTTATCCACTTCAATTGTACTCACTCTGTCGCCTCTTCTTTTAGAATAACGAAGCATGTTGAGTATAGCGTTTTACCGGTATGAATGCGACGGTTATTATGAAGCTTTTCAATAAACAGATTTGATCGATGATGAATTCCATTTATTTTGACGATGATATAGGTCTACTCTTTATTTTACCATTGCTCCAGGCTGATCAAATGTCTAGGAAACTGTATCTATGGAAACAAGAGGCAGAAGAACAAAAGGAGATGGTGACAGTCCTCCGCGAGAAAAACGAGACTTTAGTGTACAACATTCTTCCCGCGCACGTGGCAGTCGAGTTTCTTGGAAATAAGAGAAGCGACGGGGTACGCGAGCCTTGGTCCTTTTTTTAAATAAAGGATTTTAGATTGAAACTTATTTTTAAGCTAAAATTTTAGCTAACAAAGTCATGTTTTACAAACCTGAAAGAATAAAAAAAAAGATGATAAGTGGCAGATAACGTCGTCGTATGAAATAACGCAATAATCTTACTATTTTCAGGAACTATATAGTCAGGCGTATGAACACACAGCTGTGATATTTGCAGCGTGCCCCAACTTCAACGACTTCTATTCGGAGGACGCCGTTAATAACAACGGACTAGAATGCTTTCGTTTCCTTAATGAGATTATTTCAGATTATGATGAGGTACGTTCTGAGTCAAAATTTTGAAACTTAATTAGCCAATTGTATTCATGTGAGCAAAGGTCACGTATGGGTAAAATTCCTTAAACATATTCAACGTTTTGGCGAATACACATGAAATGGCCATAATTGATCATGATAAGATACAAAAGGCTCCATTAAATGATATTGGTAGCTAAACAAGTGCAACAATTATCAACCATATATTTTAGTTTGTTTGGTACATTATTTCACATAAACCTATACTTCGTTCAGTTTCACTATTAAATATCAAATGCCTAAACCTGGAGGTGCAATAAAACAAGAGAACATAAAAAACTTAAACATCATAGTAAAACACTTACTTTTTATTACAGCTCTTGAACGAGCCACGTTTCTCAGATATTATCAAGATAAAGACTGTCGGTTCCACATATATGGCGGCAAGTGGTATAAATCACGCAAAATCTCACACGAAGGGGACTTCCGTCAAGGAGATCTGGGGCCACCTGGCGGCGCTTGCTGACTTCGCGTTTGCAATGAAAGAGGCGCTGGATACCATAAACCAACAGTCTTTTAATAACTTCAAACTTCGGATAGGTAAGGGAGGTCAAAGGTCTTATTGGCCAGGGTCGATGTTTCTCAAAAGAATGTTAGATCTATGGTGTGATCTTCGTTGATATTTCAGCAGCAAAATGCGTAATCGTCTTCAATATTTTGTATTTAATTCTGTTTTTCCTTGGTGTTAAACTAATCTTTGCTATTAATGAGTAAAACAGCTGAAATATGAAACACGGATATAATGAAAATATTAATGTATTTGTGACTTAAATTGCAATTATGTTTATGAATGGTTTAATTTTTCTCTCGTAGGGATACATCACGGCCCCATAGTCGCCGGTGTAATAGGAGCGAAGAAGCCTCACTTTGATATCTGGGGAAACACTGTGAACGTGGCCAGCCGTATGGACTCCACGGGACAAGTTGGGCGCATTCAGGTGAGTGAGTTCATACAGAGTACAGACACGTTTAAAACTGAATTAACTTGCACACAGAATAATCAAATTGACGTTTTGCACGACCAATTCACATCACGACCAGTTTTCGTCAAAGGATATCCCTTGCAAATACCCTTTTCCAGTCAAACACAAATGGCGAAAGTAGTTTTGATCTTAAAAGGTACTGTGTATTTTGTAAAACTGGTCCCTGAATGTAATGAAGCACTTGATTGCGATAGATGAGTCTGTGTAATTGCTTCTCGATAACAACCACAATCATGAGGTGAAAGAGATTGTCTGCATCAGACGCAGAGACGGTGATCTCCGCAGGGATGGGGAGGTAAAATGTACCAATATCTACAGACAGGGGGCAGCACTTTTTCAGTTTTCGCCATTAAAAATCTTATGAATATTCTACAGTGTACGTCACCCCATAGTAAAAAAGGCTATGATATTCAGCTAATTAAGCTTTCACTATTCTTGAGAATTAGTTTTGATACTCTTAAATAAAACCATTTTTCATATCTTTCACAGGTGACAGAAGACACGATGCTCATCCTCAAGGAATTTGGTTTCACGTTCCAAAAACGCGGCATGGTGAAAGTGAAAGGGAAGGGCGAACTGCTCACCTTCTTCATGGAGGGCAAACAGACTGACCTGACGTCGGCTTTAGATTCCGGAACGATGAACGGGAAAGCTGATGCTCTTCCGCCATTATAACACATGTTTTAAGGAGACTATAAGAGAAAGATAACCGTAGAGGTCTTAGGATGCATTCACAACTGCACGCTAAATAGTCCGCCGATTAAATATGGCCGACCCACCTGACTGGTTGTTGCATAACCCCCGCGGGGAATCTATTCTATTTCGGGATAAGGCGGCAAGCTTTTTAAGTGGGTCGCCATATTTGATCCATGGACTAGTTAGTCCGCTGTTTTAAATGCGGCCTTAGTGTTGTCTTCGAGGCGAACCAGTCATTAACTTTGTCTTATGTTGGTTCAAAATTGACAGAGGATCTCATGTACAAACAGCCGCTAGTTAAACTTTCATTGTGGCAGTTGGAGGGCTTATTGGGAATCTGCATCTAAATGTACAGAGCGAAGTCATGTCTGACGCAGATAAGATACACTAAGACCCTTTTCACAGCTAGCGGTACACTTTAACTGGATCGGTCCACTTTGAGAGTACACTGTAGTAACTTGCTTCTCGGACCACAGTTTTTTTAAAGATATAAGCATATATGTGATAACTTGAATGTAAATATTTTGATATTGTGTGATATTTGTAAATGCCAAAGAGACAAAAAAGATATTTTGCATGTTATATATTAATTATTTAGCGAACATTTTTCAGACTCGTCTTCTAACAACGGTAACGTGATACTAAGCATAATGTCACTATCCACACAGAAGTCTCGTTTTCATAGTAATTTTTACAACCAATGTCGGATTTCTTTGAAACAGTATTTGAGTGCCAGCTGTGGAGAACTTTAAGCACTCATAAATGATGGAACTAAATCCGAACCGTTAACGTGTTTGTTAGTGGATTTGTTGTGATTTTTACATTCCAACGTATATTGACAAAGGCCGTATGGTTAAAGTCTTCTTATAGCATATGTGTAGCATACGTGCACTGTAGCTGTACACTGTATCTTGTTTTTTTTTTAAATTCAAGGACATTGGTCTTCAGATATTTAGGGTATTTGCCCTCAATTCGGCTCATTGTGTTTAAATTTTTCTTAGAGGTATATACCATAAATTCGTAAAGTGAAAGTGTAACTATGAAAATGTCACTATATATTTAAGTCAAACTATATAGTGCAGAGCACACGAACGCCAGCTTTTAAAAATTGTCGTATTTCATATGATCGTGTTCCCCACTTCTGTTGAAATTAGGGGTATTTGGAGCTGGTCTCTTGCAAAACGGGCTTCTATTGAAGCTGGGGCATCCCTTAGCAAAATGAGAAGTTTGCAGCAATATTCCAGCAATATTGCCGCAAACTAAAAGTGTGCAGCAATAAGTTTGCGGGAGTTCCCAAGAAAAAAGTTATTGCTGCTAATTTACAGCCATATTGCAGCAAATTTGCTGCATGTTTGCAAGAGGGATTTGTAGTTTGCAGAAGTATAGCAGCAGAGTTGCTGCAAAGTCGCTGCAAATTTGCATCAGGCCTTATAATTTGCTAATGGATTCCAAACAGCAAAAAACGACTGTGCATCAATCTTGCAACATGTTAGTTGCAACTCAGTAAACTCAGAGGGCTGCTACTTACGTATGAAGGGTATTAGAGGGCTTCTGTTAAATCAGGGGCTTCTGTCTTAAAGTTAGGCAAATGCTCGTTTTACAATACACAGTTTAAGAAAATATATTTTTGCGCGTTTATTCAAACGATGTTGTTTATTTGTTTGTAGTCATACGTACATGTATATATACATGTACTCGTACATGCACTGTTTGCGGTTCAGTTTTCAAAAGGTTGTGTTATAAATATTAAAATGTAAATAAAGATTTATAAGTTTTCATTATATTCATTCACTTTTGTCATATGTTACAGAACATGTTACAGCAAATGTTAAGGTCTATCCGAGTATAAAATGTGGTTGTAAGGCATCATGACTGTCTTGAGTTCATATTGGTCGATCCTGCTGATCAGCTGAAGCTTCAGCTTGTATATATCCTTTTCCCTTTGGTGTACTTGATCGCGATATGAAGTTTATTTTATTTTATTTGGTTCACCTATATTACCGCTACTATTTCCCCGTCGTTCATTCCCTCCAGCATGGCCGCGGGACTAGTGTTACGGAGCAAATATGACGTCACTGTAATGGGTTATATTGCTATTAGATATCACGCAAGCCCTTCACATTAGGACTATACACTCGTATATAGGGCCTATCTTCAGCCACAAGATGACCTCGACGTACGAGTATTCACGTTTATACAAGATCTTAGCGGCGACTCTGGTGTCCTTGGAGGTGAGCATCTACAGCGTTAGCATGGTGGGTTGGCAGTCTTTGGTATACGTGTTCAGGGACGCTTATTTCTACTCTCATCTCTGCACGAACGCGTCGGCGGACTTAAACAGGTCGACGCAAGAGGATTTTGATACGCTCGTCTCCCACGAGTGTCGCGAGCAAGAGGAGATGTTGAATCTCGTCTTCACGGTGACGGTGCTACTTCAGGTTGCCATGCCGCTGCTTGGGTATATCTATGATCAGTTCGGATGTGTGTGTGCTCGGGGTATTAGTATGTAAGTAGTACCATCAAGATCTATCAATAGTCAGGCCCGTAGTCTGGGTGGGTGGGTGGGGTGGGGGGTGGGGGGTNCAGACACCCCCCCACCCACCCACTCTTTGGAAGTGCTGGCTATGGACCTGATATTATAGAAACAATTTCTGTGATTTTGTTAAGGGGGAACTTGGACCTTTACCTGATATATTTGAAAAAAAAAATAATATGTATATTATATTGCCTAGTAGAGGTAGAAATATTTTTGTGCCAGTTTTCTTTATGGTAATTTGATAGTTTTATATACCTTTTTGCAAACAAAAATGCATAAATATTGTTGTTATTTGTGTTTTTTGCGCATTGCTTTTTTTTGTGTACGCATGTATGTGATATTATATATATTTGGATATAAGACACACATGTAGCACACCAAAGTACATATTTGCACTTTGATATAATATTTGACCTAAGTAAATAATTTTTAAAAATATATTACGGGATTTGCATTTTGGTCAAAATGGCAACGCTGCGTTTCCCAGCAGGAAACGTTCAACCAGTCTTCTAGAGGAGACGCAACGTGGTCAATTAGACTAACTTCTAAGTCCAGCAATAGATTTAAAAACTTTATTATTTCAAAAAAAGAAAAGTACGCCTGGACGACTAACAAACATAGTAATATCTGACCTTTTTCTTGTTCGTTTTTGTAGAACATTAACCGTGGGCGGGGCACTACTGATGGCCATGGCAGAACCAGGTAAGACAAGACAGTCCAACACACCATACCGGGGGTGCCTGTTTGACCAAAGAGATTTAGAACGAAGTTTTCTCTTAACGGTTAAGCCATAAGTCCAAATTCGGTCTACTTCAATTCAGGTAAGACCACACAGTCCAACGCACCAGGGATCGCCTGGCCCGAGTTACACAAAAACCTCTGTCAGTTCCCTGGCTTACTTGACTAGGATGCCCATGAGCTAGAGTGCTGTAACACTGTTTCTTATAGGGTAAGATATGTGCATGTGACCTTGTAACGCCTTCAGTTTTTTTTAATTAATTAATTTTTTTTGTGAAACTTAGACCGTAGTTTAGTCTGCACTTTTAAGCTGAATGATCAAATATATCAATTCAGGATGAACGTGGAGTAGTCTGATAAAAAAAGGTATCATTGAAAAATCGCTATCTATTTTTTTTATTATTTTGTCATTAAACAGGTGTACTTGTACCTGTATAGAGCCTACAGGGTTTGATTTAAAATGTGCATCACTTGCTAAATTAACCGTGTATTTTACCCGACACAAGATCGTTTTGAGAAGATACTTGAATTCCCAACGAATGTGAATTTCATATGGGCACATTGATCGAGTAAAAATATCACGGAATGTATATATACAAATTAACCTGCATACTCCATCATTCTCTGACGATGGTATTAATCTCCACATTAGTTTCTATGTGAGGTAGAAACCACACGACAATTATGTTCTTTGATATTCTTTAGTCTCCCCTCTTCTCTCCATTTCTCTCTCTTCCCCATTCAATTACTTGCGGCGTTCTCCCTGTTTCTGTTAAACCCCGTTTCCATACCTAGACGGATTTAACATGATCGAACCATCTCCGAGGGGTTTCTTGCTTAACTGCTTTCAGCTTAAGCGGCTTAGATGTCTGGCACGTCTACTGAAGCCGTAAAACGATAGTTAATTACCCCCTAACGGCTTCAGTAGGTATGCCAGACATCAGAGCCGCTTAAGCTGAAGGTAATTTAGCGAGAAACCCCTCGGAGATGGGTCGAGCCTGCCAGATCGATCTAGGTATGGGAACGAGGTACATGCCGCTGTTTAAGTATCGCACATTATGACAACATGCCTCCCAATACTCCATAACACCAGCGGGCCTTGACTCACTCCATGAATGTTAATTACCAACATTACAGAAACTTAAAAGTTATTATTTAAAAAAAAAAAACATTTTTTTCTTGTAATAAAACAGCTGCAAGGTTTCATTAAAGTATCCCGTCACGGACATTGAAAGTATATTATAAACCAAATGTTCACAGAAAGTTCTTAGTAACCGGCTTGCATACATATATAGTAAAAAGTATACTACTGGTAGCATTTTTTTTACATACATGTATAGAAGTAAAATATTTTATAAGTAAAGTCATGACGTGGTCTTTTAACAAGTTTTTGTAAATGTAACACGAATTGTTAAAATAACTTTGTGCCACTTTTTGTGATATTTTCGTAACCGCCGCTGTTTTGTCTTTCAGGGGCAGAATGGTTACTGTTTCCCGGGGCGTCCTTCCACTATCTAGGGGGGGCCATGTTGCTCTCCACTGACATCACCATGCCCCTGTTATACCCAACCAGAAAGACGACGCTGCGTTCCTTTCTCTACGGAGCGGCCAGCATGAGCGCGTTCAGTTTGTTGCTGGTGAAGGTAGTTTTATGACGCTAATTATGGAAATAATAATAATAATAATAATAATAATAATAATAATGAGGATGATGATAAGGATAAATTTAATTCTCATGAAATTTCAGTATTTCATGAATTTCGTATTCCATGAAATTTCAGTAGGCCTACCCCTTACAATAGTTATTAAAATAAAAAGCTGACACTGAAATAAATAAGCAATCGACTTACTTGAAATGTCGAATGGAATTCATTGACCATTGGGAAGTATGAGAAAATTGTCGTTTACCCCAGGATAATTCGTTTCATTGTACTCTTCCCACCAAAATGAACAGTTACCATCCCGTTGATATATGACAAAAGTAGAATAAAATGAATTATAAACTCAGTTCGGGGGGTTCGAAAGAACCGCCCTTTTGCTGGAAAAGGTCCACTCTGGGTAAAATTTGATCTAGGTACACAAATATTTTATGGTAAAGGGTCCATTTTTTCAGAAAAAGAACCCCCACTTGAAATTGCTGGCTATAGTCTAGTAGGATTTCCACAAAAGATGAATAGTAGGGGCATTTTGGGGTAAAAGTTGGGAACCAGGCTTATTGGCATAATTTTGGGATGCTGAATCCGATTAACTCGGTTCCCAAGCGAAATTTTGCGTTTTTAACGGTCTAATTTGCAAAAAACAAAATGGCCGCCAGATTTCCTATTTTCTGCAATATCTTTGGAACTAGACAGGCAAATATGACAAATGAAGTGTCTTTACCTATATTTTCAGGGTCGAGGAACATTATTAAGATGTTTCTGTTACAAGTAGATTTACGTAATTTTCCTAAATATGCAAATTAGGATCGCCATTACTGAAAAACCGTTTTACTTCTGTATCTCTGTAACTAGGTAAGCAAACATGACAAATGAAGTGTCTGCACTTATGTTCTCAGGGTCAGGGAATGTGATAAATCAGATGTCTTGTCTGATGGGTAGCACTGACTTTGTGAATCGTGCCCGAGTAGCACCTTTTATTGTTTCATCCCTGTATCCGTCAAACACAAGTCAATCTGCTAATAGTTACAACCTGTCTTCAGAACTGCTCATATGTTAACTAGGCAAGCAGACATGACATATGAAGTGCCCACACCTATGTTTTCAGCGTTAGGGAAAGTGGTTAAGACATTTTCACTATAATCAAATCAGCAATGAGTGCTACACTGTCACACTGTAGCAATTATTCGAATCTAAATTGAATTTTGCAATTAAACACTGTCATTGGGATGTATACATATTGGATCACTCAACTGCCCCTTTTACCTAGATTTAAAAAAGATTACCTTATTTATGCAATGGAGGGATTTGCTGAATCAAGTAATTCATGTGATGCAATGTACGGACTTGACATTTAAATGGATTTTTTAAAAACATATTTTCTTTGATTTTTTCCCATATATTAATAATGGATGAAAAAACACTTTTTATTATGTTCAATATGGCTTTAATAAATCAATCCATGTGAATACATCATCAAAAATTTAATTTAAATACGTATTCAAATCAGCGTTATAAACAGCGCATGGATAATTTTCTAGCTGATAACAACAAGGTATTAAATACTTATGAACTCGATATTATCAAGAATATCAGTTGGTAAGGATTTTCTCTTACACAACAGAATCATCAAGACAAATGTGAAAAATGGGAACTGATAAGAACGCATGCAGCCTCTTCTAGCTGCAACCAGAGCCCTCACTTGGCCAGGGATCCATGCAGATAGGTTTCTGAGAGTTTGATCCAGTATTGTGTTACACGCATTAGTCAGAGCTTGCCTAAGCTTGTGCCGATTTGTAGGCTGGACAGGTTAGCTCTTGATTCTGCTAGCGATTTATGCCCACAGGTTTTCTATAGAATTCATGTCAGGGGAATTCCGTCGGCCAAGGCAACTGGTTTACCTGTTGGTTTTGCAGAAAAGCAGCCATTGCATGGGCACGGTGTGGTCGGGCATTGTCATCTTGCAGGATGAAGTTGTCCTGGAAGCACCTTCTTGCAAATTGGAAGCAAGTATTCTCTAAAATGTCCCTTTATTTTATCTGGTTGAAGTTTCCATCAATTCCCACCAATAATGTTTTGGCTCCAGTGTGGAAACCGGCCCATACACAGATACTGCCACCGCCACAAGTCACTGTAGTGTGACACAATCCTCGTGCAGTAACTCGTCTGGAAGTTAACTGACTGATTCAGCCATCACGGTGGTGGAACTCAAACCCTGCCTCATCTGTAAAAATCTACATGAACCCAGTGCTGTGCCTGGAACCGCAAATGGTGTCTAGCCCACCCCAGACGCAGACGTTGGTGTTGCTCTGTTAATAGAGGTAGCCAACTAAAAGTAGCCTTGCATTCACTAGAGTTCTAGAAACATGCTTTTGAATGGTAATTTGCCATTCATTTTTTACAGCAAGAGTTGTCTTTGTCCGGTTGTTGCGCCATAACCGCAGAAGCATGCGGTCTACCCTTCTGTTGGTGACTTTAGGACGTCCTGGCCGTGGTCTCTGTGTTAATGTAGCAGTCTGGGCGTGTTTTTGTAAGACGTTAGAAATTGCTCCCTGGGACACATGCAGTTGTCTGGCAATAGCAGTTTGCTTCAGTCCATTCTGGCATAATGCAACAATAGTGTGGCAAGTTGCTGCCGTTAGTTCACATACCATAACATCAGCTAACAGTCTGCAAAATATCAAATTATTTGACTGGACATTGCCGAAATATAGAGACTTATTTTGCAGCACTGCTGCCCTTTTATACGCATTCTGTAACCAGCCAAAGAGGACTGCTCAGGGAAAATGCCACATATTACGTAATATAACCGGGCTTCAGAGAAAGCAACCTAATGAACAATAACCAACACACCTGGCTACACATATACCTGATCACAATTGTCGTATGTGATCAATTTTTCTAAAAAAAAGTTAATTTATTATGAACACTTTGCTTTTGAACTAAAATATTCAATATTAAATGTCAATATGTATGTGTATACTTTAAGTACACGATGACATCTCACCTCATCCATTTCAGCGATTTTTCCATTAGCCTATTACTAGTTACCCGTTGGTATCGTTTCATTTTAATTTACAAAATTTCTTGAATTTTAACTTTAATTTTCTGATATTCTTTTGAATCCAATTAAATGATTGACGATACAGAAACATTTCTGTGTTAATAGCAAGTCTGAGCAGTTTCTCAAGCTTCTAAACGATTTCGTTGAGACCAAATCTGTAACAGAAAGGTTAAAAGAAGACGTATTCTGCCCTGATGAAATTAAACTGAATGACTCCTAACCAAGTGGCGGATTTAGAGGGGGGGCTCAAGGGGGCCCTGACCCCCCCCCCCCTTCGAATTCTTGTCACCCACTTGAAATTATAATTTTGACTGCTGAATCATAGTTGTAAACCATACCAAATGGCACCGTTCGCCCTCTTAAATACCAAAATTGTTCGTGGCCCTTCAACAGGCCCCTAACCAGTTGCCAAGTGGGGGTGAGGCTTTGCATCTGCGGACTCCCCCCCTTCTAATAATCCTGGATCCGTCTCTGCTCACCTTGCCTTATAATTGATTGGCAAGCACTGGCAATTTCACTGGGAAAGCCTGACAATGCAGTGGCCTTTGGTAGTTTGGCTGACACATACGTAAGAGCAGTTCTGAAGGCAGGTTCTAACTATCAGCAGATTGACTAGTGTTTGACAGATACAGGGAAGAAACAATGAAAGGTGCTACTCGGACACGATTCACAAAGTCAGTGCTACCAATCAGACAAGACATCTGATTTGTCACATTCCCTGACCCTGAGAACATAGGTGTAGACACTTCATTTGTCATGTTTGCTTACCTAGTTACAGAGATACAGAAGTAAAACGGTTTTTCAGTAATGGCGATCCTAATTTGCATATTTAGGAAAAATGTGTAAATCTAATTTTAACAGAAACATCTTAATAATGTTCCTCGACCCTGAAAATATAGGTAAAGACACTTCATTTGTCATATTTGCCTGTCTAGTTCCAGAGATATTGCAGAAAATAGGAAATATGGCGGCCATTTTGTTTTTTTGCAAATTAGACAGTTAAAAACGCAAAATTTCGCTTGGGAACCGGGTTAATCGGATTCAGCATCCTAAAATTATGCTAATAAGCCTGGTTCCCAACTTTTACCCCAAAATGCCCCTTGCCTCTTATACAGAGCCTTTTTTCAAAAACCTCACTAGACTACTACGGGCCTGAATCTTGATATTTTTTTGTTTACAGCTTGCCTATGACGGTGGGATTCACTACCGTTCTTCCTTGATATGCTTTGCTGCAGTCACGTTCCTCATCGCTGTTCCAACAACTTTCTTCCTCCCCCCGAGACATTATGACCACAAGAAGGGCATCCAATCACAAAGCGACTCCAAATTACAAACGTGTACGTTTGCTGTGTGCAAATGCTTCTATGCGCAGTCGGAATCACATGTGAAAGAAAATGAAAACCCTGATACAGAAGAGAACACTGTCAGTCTCATTAAGGTCTCGTCACAAAACTCCTATGAAAAAGTCCTACAGGGTGGAAATATAAAAAGTGGTGACGTAAAAGAAGATGATGGCGTCACTGCCACGTCACGCGTTGTCGGCAACGAAACATCTTTCCTGTCAATTATAAAAGAACCCTTGTTTTGGTGGTCGGAGCTGTGGTTTGCAGGCAATATTTTATTGGTGACGCTTTACTTTGGCAGTTTCAATGCCATTATAGACTATCGGTCCAACAAGAATATCCAGCAAGGTGTGATATTATTTTAAAACAAATGTAGGCCTACAATGTCAGAAATGCCACTGGATGAAAAGAAGTCTGAATATGAATGGTTTTGTTTAAATTAACATTTAATTATATAATAACTACAATTAACTTGATTATTCTCGGTATCGCGCTGCCTAACATGGTGTATCTAAAATGAACGACTGTACGACCTTAGGCATCTGTATTCCGCAGTTTTTAATTTTTTTATTCAATTTTCACCTATTTTTTTCTTTTAAGTGAGTCTGTATACGGACGTGGTGGGGTACGTACAGCTGGTGGTCAGTATGCCTGCCTCAGCAGCCTTGGGGTATTTAGTGGACAGACAGCAGAGGGCAGATGCCACACATGGTATTCCCCCCTCCTCCCCATGGTCTCCTCTCTTTTGTCACACACACACACACACACACACACACACACACACATTAACACACACAACACACAGGCACATATACGCAAACAAACACACATTCTCTCTCTCTTTCTCTTCTACCTTTCCTGATCTCCAGGTCTAATAATAATAATAATAATAATAATAATAATAATAATAATAATAATGATAATTATAACGTTACTACGATTGCAACCCTTGGGTTGATGTTGTACACAATTATTCACAATCCATATCTCATAATATTCATTTTTATCCTCTAGCTGACCCAAAGACGTATATCCCCTCCTTTCTCATCGGCAGTGTGTCGGGGTTGATAGTTTGGATACTGTGTGCCGTCCCTAACCTCGAGGTACAGTTCGTAGCCATGGTGTTCCACTGTGTGCTTAGATCGGGAGTTTTCGGAATCCAAACGGCATTCGTTGCATACGCGTAAGTGAGCTTCTTGAAGCCTCTCATAATCGGAAATCGTATACCGGTAGCACATTAAAAATATCAATATCTGGAAATTATGTCTGTATGGTAAAAAAAGAAAATCGTTATCTATAAATCCGCTTTTGAGTTTTTTTTTTTTTTTTTTTTAATTTTTAGTAATTGTTGAGATGAAAATAAAGACCGGTGAATAATTGTCAGTAAAATAGAGATTTGGGTTAAAATCACGATTTGGGTTCATTGATCGTTCTTTTTTTTAAACAGTTTTGCATAGGATAATACACCATCAACTGACGCTTTTACTTTGTCGCAATTAAGACAGTTTGAAAACTTCAACCATTTTGTTTCAGATTTCCAATAGCACATTTTGGCAAAATCTACACACTCCAGAGGGCGCTGATGGCGGTGTTTGGTGGGCTCCAGTACCCACTTTTTCATTGGTATAAACAGAAACTTCACAGCGACCCTCTCTACGTAAGTATGAATTAAGTTTTTTCCAGCTTATTGAACATATCGACATATTTGCCTTTTGTAAGTTAGTTTGTTTCTCTCTGAGTTTTTAACTCCGTCACTGTCGTGTTTCCGGTTCTAAAAAGTCGTCTGCAGCCGTCGACGTCGTCCATCCATGCGCAATATAATGCGATCTATCGTTTGCTTTTTTTCAGCATTGAAATCTTCTCTCCCCCTCTCCCTTTCCTACATACACACTCCCAAGTTTATTAGATATGTAAAGTTTGTGATACATTTTAAGGAACAATATTTGTGACTCAGTTGCGCAAACAGCGAGTCCTAGTGCGATTTAAGCCTCCAGCATACGAGCTACTTAGGCCTACTACCAGTACCATATTATATCAGTAGAGTGAAAATTCCACTCTCATTAAAACCCTTCATCTTTACAAAAATGAAAAACCTTTTAAAACAAGTTTCCTGTCTTAACCTCTAATGTACATTTAGAACATCGTTTGGTATTCTGTTTTTCAGTTTAGTTTGCTGTTGGTTGGAGTATCTTGTCTCACGTTCGGACTGCCAGTTTATGTGGCAAAGGTGAAGGTCAAAACCGAGAAAGAGGCTAGCGAAGATGACGCCATTCAAATGAAACTCACAGAGGAGACTAGTGACGTGCACGCTTGAAATTTAAAACTTTCCGCCAACGTATCTAACACGTGCAGTGTTTAACTCCATTTTCGGAACACATTCATAAAAAATCACGTGGCTTTCTGCGTTCTCTTGCCATTATTGGTATTTGCATCAGGCATGAAAGAGGGCACCAGTTACTTTTACGAGAGATTTTGTTTACTTCTCATATCTATCGCCAAGCGGGGGTTTTAAATAAACATACGGGTATTTGAACGGGCTATCTTTAGATCCTTCATCAGCAATTTCCAAAACGGTTCTTTTAAGATAAGGAATGAATGTCTTATACTCCGGACCTCACCCCACCTGACCTAGTTACGGCGTTATAGGCAAATGATTGTCAGTATCTCACTCATAAGGAATTGATACATAGAACATTTTCTTTGACATTCGCTTACCAAGATATGGGCATTAAGGTGACCTAATCAACCCATTCAGCGGCGGCCATTACGGTTTTAGCCGAAGGCGAGACCTTGCCATGGGGGATTTTTTTCTTTGGGGGTGGGGGTGGGGGTGGGGGGCTTTGATCTATACTGGGCCTTCCATGGACCAGAATCACATAAAAAAAGCATCCACCGGGAAATCACTTATGGAACACCCCCAAGGGTAATGAAGTATAAACTGGTGAGGACGCAGAGGAGTATATGTACAGTATGTTTTCTAAATGCCCAAGGTGTTAACGCAGTTTTTATATCTCGGTTATCTAAGTTTCAACGTGCTTTTATTCATTCAAATTGAGTACATTTTTGAAGGGGGAGGGTACACCCTATTTCTATGAGTGAATTTTATGCATCAAAGTTTATTTGGCATTGTGCAGTCAAAACGACGTAAATCAGGCCTACCCAACTACCAGACTCGGCACCGAATGATCCCGAATTCACCGGTAGATCGGACCACACTACCCGTTTTCAAGGTGTGAGTCAGTATACGTATTTCACAGTATCATACCCCGAACAAATTTTGAGTGGTGATGCAATGCTTTTCAACCCCGCTGAGAATCGTCACTATCACATCGCGTACTAGGCAAGAGCGGTGTTTTTTATTTTTTTATTTTATTTTATTTTTATTTATTTTTTTTTTTGGGTGGGTGGGGGGGGGGGGGGGTCCATACGAATACGCTTACTCCAGCTGGTGGTACAATATCCGGAGGCGGTATCGCATCTCTGATCCTCTAGTTAAGAAATATAGGACCGACTTCTTCTTCTTGAAAATTGAACGATTGACGATTGTTGTGAATTGTCAAGGGTAGAATTTCCTACTATCTTTAGAACCTTCTTGATTCTTGGAGTAAAACTAAACTTTTAGTCGTATTTTATTTAATATTAGAATTGGTAATGTGATCTTCATACTACATGGTAGAAAAGCTACAATTATACCAGGCTCATTTTCATTTCAAAATTTAATTAACTGAACGGTAATAATGAATAATACAATCAGATGGTGCTACCACAGACTTTTTTCAGGCTACAGAATTTGAATGCTTTGGGTTGCACACTTTAAGATTGATATGTCAATAATAAATGACCCAATCTTGATGTCAAAGCTGATTTCCTTAAAATTTCAGTGGGTGTTTCAACATAATTATTTTGGGTTAGAGAATACGAATGCTTTGGGTTGCACACTTTTAGATTGAAATATCAATAATAAATGATTCAATCTAGATGACAATCTTTGATCATAGGCTTTGATTTGATTTTATTATATTCGTATTTCATTAGGTGTTTCTACAGAATTATTTTGGGTTTGAAAATTTGTTGCTTTGGTTTGCACACTTTTACAAAGATATGTCTTCAACAACAAAATTGTATGTTCTTAATGGGGCAAGTCGAAATTTCTTAAAAAAATGAACGACATTTTATCAAAATCAAGTGGACTAGGTACTTGGTTTTTTCAATGAAAAATTACAGACAATTGTGAATTTTACACCAACTGTATTTTTTAATTCATATTTTTTTAATTGTAATTTTCTCATTGAGTGGTACAACAAAACTAAGAGTGCCTTACAGTTTTATTCTTTATAATAAAGACAAATCCTACATGGAAATGTATTTTTGAACTAAACTTTGCAAATTTTCTATCCCTTATATCTCGAAAACTGGCAGAGATACGCCCATAGTTACTATTGAACTTGTATAGGAGGTCATATTCTGGCAATCTCACTGAGACCTTGAAGTTGACCTTTGACCTACTTTTCACCATGATCTGAACTTCTCAATTTTTCAACGAATGCTATGATTTGTCAAGGGTAGAGTTACACACTTTCTATAGAACCTTCTTAATTGTCGGAGTAAAACGAAGATTTTATTATTACAGGTGTTTAATCGGTTGTATTTTATTTAGATAAGACAGATTACTAATGTGCTATTTATATTTTTCAGTAAATGAAAAGAGAAAGGAAGTGAGAGGTCTTCAACAACTTTTATAAAAGTCTTAAGTCTTAACCTTAACAACACCTTAACAGCTGACTGCCCACATACCTTGTATAAACTATGGATTCTGCTATGGTCTGACGGCCAAGGTGTGAAATACAGTAGTGCAGAAATTGCATATATGTAAAGGTGGATGGTTAAGCAAGTAATTTTAATGAGGAAAGTTGCTTTGGAATATAAAACCTTTGAAACATTCAAATATGGATTTGTGTGAAATAATTTTTAAAATTAAAGGGTTTCGTCTGCGTCGCTCTCCTCAGCTTGGAGATTGATTTCATGTGCGTTATATCGCGTTAGAATTCGAGATCAATAGTGTCAAAGCGGCGCTGTATGCTGACGATTTTTTTCAGAGGTGATTATTCGGACGATGTGCTGGAAGGGAATGGTATCATAGAAAGAGGTGATGGAATGGTGAGTTTTATTTTCTAGCGATGATAGATGGCTTTTTATTGCACACCCTAGAGATAAATCACCTAGAAGTCGAAAGAAAACGTCCCAACTGGCTTGTGAAAATGACATTCCAGTCATTTCCTGTCCTCTCTGCCAAACGATATAATAATAAAACATAACAGTTTGTACACTCCAGCCCTAAGGTATCATTTATTATAAGTAATTAATAAGTAGGCCTAATAATGATAAGCAAGGAGTTATAACTCCTTGTGATAAGTAATATCGGAGTTTTTTTCCCGACTGGTAAAAAAAAGTTGCCAGGTTAGTTTTTAATGAAACTTGATAGTCGATTTTCTCGTGCAAAAAGCCACCTTCCATTAACGTGAATAAGTTGCACAGTTTCTGTGACATGAGATATCTAAAAATGTTAGTGTTGCTATGGCCAAATTTAAAAGTGACCAGTTGGCCGACTTCGTCGAGATCTACCTCATTCATTGCTTTTTACTTCTAGGTAAATCACACACGATGATACACATAATTAACTCTGCTACCATGACTTAATTTTCAACAGGTACTTGTGCAGAGAATAAAGTGCAATTCTTGAACTTCCGCGAAGGTTACGCAATTTACAAAATTTCGATCAGCGCACGCGCTCCGTTCTGAATATCTTCCTACGCGCAGCCAGTTGCCATATGACTGGTAAAAATCTCGAAAGGTCAAAAACTCGAAAAGTCAAAAACTCGAAAAGTCGAATAGTCAAAAACTCGAAAAGTCGAAAACTCAAAAAGTCAAAAACTCGAAAAGTCGAAATATCCAATAGGGTCCACTATACTGTTTGCGGTTCAGTTTTCAAAAGGTTGTGTTATAAATATTTAAAACATGTAAATAAAGATTTATAAGTTTTCAACATATCCATTCACTTTTGTCATATGTTACAGAACATGTTACAGCAAATGTTAAGGTCTATCCGGATATAAAATGTGGTTGTAAGGCAATCCAGTGAGGAATAGAACTTGAACAGCAAGTATTTTTTTCTTTCTCTTTTCTTCTTCTTTTTTTTTTTTTTTTTTTAACTGACCCCTAAATGACCAAGGGTATATCCCTAGTACGGATCCGTTAAAATTACTGTAAACCCGCTTTCAATTTCCTGATTTGTGATTTTTTTCTCCATCATGATTGATGAAATACGCCAGTTCCTCTCTTAAAGCTATAAGATTAACTCAAATACTATAAACTTGGAACTCAAAAACCGTGCTTTAGATTGTAAACTGATTGTCAGCAGTTTCGGTGATTTGGGGGGGGGGGATCTCAAGGAAATACTATTATTTATTAACCAGCGTAATTAAAAGTCCAATGTTCGTGTTGTGTTTTGAAGAAACAGGTAAAATCTCGAACTCTAATGAAGTCCCTAATATGAAAGCACAGCATACGCTGGCCTGAGAGTTGTACCGGTATTTTCAGTTTGCAAAATGGAAATGCCCAGCAAATTATTACCGATTTATCGCAACACCACAAAATTTATACCGGGGTGATCCAGGATTATTTGAAAGGGGTGTCCTATTGTTTAGTAATGACAGGCCTTGGATTCAAAGCCAACCCTCGCCTCTTTGGCGAGGGGTACGGGGCCGCTCAAGAGCCCCGAAAAAATTTGGTATTTGGGAAGCCAGACGATGCCATTTGGTACGGTTTAGAACTATATAATTCAGCTAGGTAAAATTCTAATTTCAAAGGGGGAACATTTACCTTCAAAATATTTTTTCAGAAACCGAAGGGGTGGGTGGGACCCCCCTCTGCCCCCCTAAATCCGCCACTGGGGTATTTCAATAATAACGCACACTGTCAAACACACTCAAAGGATCAGCAAACAAATATAGAATAAATAATTATCAGTTGCGGGTTTAGAGGTCTCAAGCCAAGGACCCCCCCCCCTTTCAAATAATACTGGATCCGCCCCTGATTATAAGACCGTGAAAAGACGAATTCTCTATAAACTGGCAGACATGTCACACCTGTACGCCATCAGCACGCCCAATCAATGCCTTAGATACAACCCGTTAGTCGATTTAGGTACCTGTGTTGTATTTACTTCTATATTTATTCGCATTTGTCCATTATGACGCGCGTAATTGGACAAGCCTTCATATTGACCCAATTTCTCACAGCTCATTCTTTTGTGAGCAGGCAAAACACGCGCACGCTCTATATTGTAGGGTCTTTTTAAAGATTATCGTTCGCAGTAAGGAAAGCACGTATACGGATTAAGCCTGTAGTACGGCCGCCATACACACAGTGTAAGAATTAACGCAGAATGAGCTAGAAGTTGATGTTAAAGCTGAAAGAGAGGGAAGGCCACGATCCACACACCCTTTACAGTACATGCACTTATGTACAGTGTATATAGCTCATGGTGGCTTATACATGAATACAGGCTAGTAACGTTGGGTTTGTTAATCTTTGTGAAATATACGTCGGATTTGGGTGTTTTATGCCTTAATATCACGCAGGACCTTTGCGTTAGGACTATACATACTCGTATATATATAATATAGCTTCAGCCACAAGATGACCTCGACGTACGAGTATTCACGCTTATACAAGATCCTGGCGGCCACTCTGGTTTCCTTGGAAGTAAGCATCTACAGCGTTAGCGTGGTAGGTTGGCAGTCTTTGGTGTACGTGTTCAGGGACGCTCATTGTTGGAACGGGAGAAGATCCGCTCTGGCCAAAAAATTGAGGTACACGAATTTTTTAGAAACAGACACCCCCCCACCCACCCACACTTTGGAAGTGCTGGCTATGGACCTGATATTATAGAAACAATTTCTGTGATTTTGTTAAGGGGAAACTTGAATCTTTACCTGATGTATTTGAAAAAAAAAATGTATATTATATTGCCTAGTAGAGGTAGAAACATTTTTGTGTCAGTTTTCATTATGGTAATTTGATAGTTTTATATACTTTTTTTGCAAACAAAGATGTATATAATATAATATAAATATTATATAATATTGTTGTTATTTGTATTTTTTGCGCATTGCTTTTTTTGTATGTGCTGTTATATATATATTAGGATATGTCTCAGATACACATGAAGAACGCAAAAGTGCATGTTTGCACTTTGATATAATATCTGACTTTAGTAAATGATTTTTTTAATATATTACGGGACTTGCATTTTAGTCAAAATGGCAACACTGCGCTTCCCAGCAGGAAACGTTCAACCAGTCTTCTAGAGGAGACGCAACGTCGTCAATTAGACTAAATTTTAAGTCCAGCAATAGATTAAAAAACTTAATTATTCATAAAAAGTACGCCTGGATGACTAACATACCTACACAAAGTAATATCTGACCTTTGTATTGTTCGTTTTTGTAGAACATTAACCGTGGGCGGGGCATTACTGATGGCCATGGCAGAACCAGGTAAGACAAGACACTCCAACACACCAGGTGGCGCCTGTTTTATCAAAGAGATTTACACCGAAGTTTACTCTTAACGTTTAATTTAACATATAGATATAGACAATTAATTTGTAAATTTAGAACTTCATCCCATTCTTTAAAAATAGAGAAGGGTAGATATAGTAATATCCCTCGTAACCAAAGAATTTGTCAGTATTGCTCAAATGATAATGTTGTGGAAGATGAGTATCATTTTATTTTGATATGTAAACTGTACTCTGACTTTAGAAGAGTTTATATCAAACAGTATTACTGGCGAAGGCCATCTACTTTCAAACTAGTACAGTTATTAAGTACACATAATGTTACTGACCTAAGAAATTTAGCTAGATTCCTGTGTGCTGCCTCTAAGCTTAGAGAGGACACTATAAGTTTTTGAGTTGATCCAACAATATTTGTTTATTGGTATACTATATAATTACTATATAATACTAGCCTTATAAAGAAAAGTCACACTGCAATTTTTTTTAAAAGATATATAAGTCTGTCCATCCACCACTTTTTTAGGTACTCCAATATGTCAACAGTGGTTGCCACCTCCACCTACCACAAATGTTATACTTTTTATGGTTATATACCTATGTCAAGTTGATTCGGCAATAAACTATACTAACTAGCTATAAGGCCAAATTCGGTCTAATTCAATTTAGGTTAATCAAGACACTCCAACGCACCAGGGATCGCCTGGCCCCAGTTTCACAAAAACTTAAGTCAGTTCCCTGGCTTAGTTGACTAGGATGCCCATGAGAGTGCTGTAACACTGTTTCTGATAGGGTGAGATGTGTGCATGTGACCCTGTAACGCTGGTAACAAAGATGCTAGCCAGGGAACCTGACTCAAATATGGTCTACTTCAATTCAGGATAATGTGGAGGTGTCTGGTAAA